TTAATAAGAACATTCTAAGATGGTTTGCTCCATCTATATGAAAATAAGGTTTCCAACTTTGATTTAGTATGTCTGCTTTCCCTGATCTATGCATGATCATCTCCTTTCTTTCTTGTGTCTTCTACAATTGGTCTTCATTAACAGTCACCAACCAGAACTACACATTTATTAAGTGCTAAGGTTTGATAACAATGGGATTATGTACCCTGCCCTCAGATCTGCTCCATTTTCATTACATTCTATTCTTATATCAAATTGCTTCTGTAATTAAAATATGCCCACCCCACCTTTTTTTTTTTTTTTTTTGGCTGGTTTGGGCCAGTATCTCTAGGTGTACTCTAAAATGTCTCCAGTAAACTCTATAGCTTCTTTTTGATATCAGAATAAGTGAGTCACAACTCATTATTCTTAGTAAAAGGTAGACCAGTTTACTTGAAGTATCACTTTGCAACTGCCAAAAATAAGAGCACTTTGCCAGGTCCCTGAACAGCTATGCTGCCTTCAGCAGTATTCCTGCACTTCTCATCATCTGCTTCACCAGCACTTGCTTCCTAGACCTAAGTACCGCGTGAAAACCTGGAATGCTTTACTGCATGATTCCTGAGGGCTCCCACTGACTCCAGTTAGGATGGCCTACTTACCCATGGTTTTCATTTCCTATTTCTGTTTTTTAAATTTATTTAATTATTGTTCAAGTACAGTTTTCTGTTTTTTACTCCCATCCCAGCGCCCCCCCCATGCTCCCCACCTCCCTCCCATTTCCACCCCCTTAGTTGTTGTCTATGTGTCCTTTATACTAGTTCCTGTAAATCCTTCCCATTTTTCTCCTGAAATTCCCTCCCCTCTCCCCTCTGGTCACTGTCCCCCTGTTCTCTATTTCAGTGTCTTTGCTTTTATTTTGCTTGCTTGTTTGTTTCATTGTTTAGCTTCCTGTTAAAGGTGAGATCATATGGTATTTGTCTTTCGACATTTGGCTTATTTCAGTCAGCATAATACTTTCCAGTTCCATCCATGGTGTTGCAAAGGGTAGGAGCTCCTTCTTTCTTTCTGATGCATAGAATTCCACTGTGTATATGTACCATAATTTTTTGATCCATTCATTTACTGATGGGCACCTTGCTTCTAGCTCTTGGCTATTGTAAATTGTGCTGCTATGAACATTGAGGTGCATAGGTTCTTTTGAATTGGTGTCATACAGAAGGTCCAGGGACACATGAAAAGATGCTCAATATCGCTAGCTATCAGAGAGATGCAAATTAAAACCACAATGAGATACCACTTTACACCAGTCAGAACTGCCATCATAAACAAAGCAACAAACAACAAGTGTTGGAGAGGCTGTGGAGAAGAGGGGACCCTAATCCATTGTTGGTGGGATTGCAGATTGGTACAACCACTGTGGAAAACAGTATGAAATTTTCTTAAAAAAACTAAAAATGGACCTGCCTTTTGATCCAGCAATTCCACTGCTGGGATTATATCCTAAGAACCCTATTTCTGTTTTTCTTTTTTTAATTTTCCTTTTTTAAAATTTTAATTGTTGTTCAGGTGCAGTTTTCTGCCATTTGCCCCCATTCCAGCCCACCCCCCAGCCCTCCTCACCTCCCTCCTGTCTCCTATTTCTAAATCAGTTTGTAATCCATGATGAATTTTTTAAATTATCACTTAGTTATTTCACATTTTACAAACTTTTTCGAAGTCTAGCAAAACACTAGTATTAAGTGACCAGTTAACTGTTTAATTTTTCAAAACTATTCCCAATTTCTTAGGAGACATTTTTCAGCAACACTATCTTTACAAAAATACCAATCCCTTTTTACCTAATTCCTTCCTGCCTTTTTAAATTCCTGGCATTGTTCTCTCCATGGTCCAAATGTAATGTCCTTTCCCAAGTCTTTATATTACCTGATTTCTTTGTAGCCCTAAGAACCTGGATCTTCTTCCTAAAATTCTTTCCCATGTCTAAAATTTTTTCCCAACAATAGACCCATCCATCAGTTCTGACCCTTTTTCTGATGCTGCCACCTTTTTAAGATGCAAAAGTTCTTCTAGATCTACCTGTGGCTGATTCCTTTGTCATTTTATTCCACCACCACCAGCACCCTTCCCTTCTCTTTTTCTTTGAGCTTAGCAGCCTCATTCAAATATCATGCCTCCAACGATCACCCCCTGGTCTTATGTCTCTAGTCCTGGCCTGGATCCCAAGAACTAGACCACACTGGCATGTACATAATACCCAAAGTAGACACTGCCAATTGGATGGATGTTGCCTCAAATGACTTCTCAACACCTGTTCTGGAGACTCCCTACACTATCAGATGAAGCTAGCATCGATTCACTATTCCTAAATACTCATCCTACTCATTCCCTAAATGTCTCCACCTGATAGTCCATAGCCACACCTTATAAGCAATATATCAAACGTGGAACTCAGTATCTTTCCCCCAAACTTCCTACTCCATTTGTATCTCTTTGTAAGGGAATCTTGCAATCTTCAATTCTCTTTTGTGCCTTGAGACCCACACTGTTGTTCTAAGATAATGAATAACAATGTGACACTGAGTTGAACTCTTTTTATCCTCCAATGTTATTCACTAATATAAGCACTTAATACCTCTTATCAAAGCTGATACAAGGGCTAGCTTCCTGACTAGTCTCCCTTTTACAGTACCTTCTTCTTCTTCTTCTTCTTCTTTTTTTTTTTTTTTGCAAACCTTACTAAGTACCGCAAAGGAATCTGATCATCTTTTACCTAAGCAACCAGTGACCACTCAAACTCCTTATTCTTGCAATCAGTATCCTTAGCAATGGAGCTGCAAGGTTACATCTACTCTTAGTTGTATGCCTCCACTTTATATATTCTACCAAACACAGCACTTCTCTTCTTTACTCATGTTTCTTCTGGATTACAGGGTCTCTCTTTCCTTCAAACTAGAGAAAACTGGAGGGAGTGGAGATACAGTCAACAGAACCTGACAATGCAGTGGATAAAGGTGATAAGGTAAAAAAGAAGAATCAACAACAGTGTCCAGATTTGTAGCATATAAAATGAGATATATGATGGAAATCAGTCACTTAAATAACAATGGAGGCACTTGAGAGGGAGGGTTGAACTTCTATTGTAAAGTGACTTAGACATCCCCAAATGGAAAATGGATACCAGATAGGCAGTTCAACATGTAGACCTTAATCTCAGAAGACAGGCGTAGACTAGAGATGTTGTTACTCTTAGAATAACTGTAATATAGATGATAATTTAAACCACAGGTTTGCTTAGAAAACCAATACAGAGTTAAAAAAAACAGAACAATTTTTTAAAGGTCTAAAACATGCTGTTAGAAGCCAAGTAGAGAAAGAAGAACTAGAAGACTGAAGAATAAACAGAAGATTGTGATTTTTTAGAAGTGGAGGGTAGTGCATTTAAAAGAAGGCAACATCTACAATACTGAAAGATACAGAGAAGTATGAAAATAAGATAAAGATGGGGAAAAAGTCCCTCAGATTTAATAGCACAGATATCCTAATGGTGGCCTTAGTTTGCACAACAGAGAAACTGAGTGGAGTTGTTTGAGAAGTCAGAGTGGGAGGTAAGGAAATTAAGGTGAAACGCTGACAGGTAAAGACAACACTTTCAAAAATTTGACTATGAAAGGGAAAAGAAGTCTTATAGAGAATTATACACAATAATACCACAATGTCTGTAAAGTACTTCAAGTAGTGTATCATCTCATGTACTTCCATCTTTTCTCCCACTGATACCAGTCAGTGTGGCATTTCTCATTCCTACTAAGGTCGAGAATAAGGCCACAATGCCCACTATGCCCACTACCACTTTTTTTCTGTACATATTTGTCAATGAAATGAGGCTAGAAAAAACCTTTAGAAATGTAAAAAATAAGAACTGGAAAAAGTAAAATTATTACAGGAAAAATAACTGTAGGCAGAAGAACTGGAAAAGAATAAATAAAACTATCTGCAGGTGCCCTGATAGAATACCTGGAAAATCCTAGAAAATAAATGCTAAAGCTCAAAAAACAAAAGAATAGATAGCAAGATATAAATGAACGTGCGAAAATCAGTCGCACTTATGTACACAAATAAACACAGATGGAATACATATATACGGGATGAGGAAGTTCCATTTAAAACAGTAATAAAAATTAAATACTTAGGAATAAATAGAAATTTTCAAAACCTACATAGAGCACAGAGATAAATATACACTCTTAAAAGACACAAAAGTAGGTCTGAGTGGCTAAATATCAGAACAAAACAAAGCCTTCTCCTTGGTTAAGACTAATATAGCAAGTTATCATAATTTTACAAATTTAATTTGAGCTCAATAAAAATATTAATAAGCTTTTTTATGGAGTTAGACAATTTGGTACTGAAAAAGGGAGTTCGGAAAAAGCTGAAAAAAATACACATGGGGAAAAACACCACTGAAACATACTACAGCCATTAAAACACACAAATGGATCAGAAATTTAAATGTAAATAATGAAACTATGTAAGTACTGAAAAAAATCATTGAAGTCTTCCTATAACTTGGGAACTTATAATAGAAAACACTTTCTATCTAGAATTCAAATCCAAATACAAAACCTTTACATGACAAAAAAGCAACACTAGCAAAATCAAAAGGCAGATGGCAAACTGGGAGAAAACATTTGGAGTGTCTATCAAGGATAAGTGGCCACCATTGCTACAAAACTTTCAAAACTGAGGGGGGGAAGATCAAATATCCTACGGAAAGTGGCTCTTAAACATATAAAAAGACTTTAAACTCTACTTATAGTAGAATGAATGCAAATTAAGTATATAAAAGACACATGGACAAAGCCAAAGAAGGGTAGGATCAAGGGTGGGAAGGGGAGATGGCTGGGGTGGAAGGGATTGGGGGGAGGAATGGAAACAACTGTACTTAAACAACAATTGAAAATACATGAAAAATATTAATAAAATAAAAAATAAATGTACACTGAGATAACATTTCTCACCTATCAAAAAAATGGAGAAGTTTCACAGTATATTGCTGGCAAGGCCGTGGTGAAACAGGAACTCCCGTGGAAATGCAAAATTATACAGCCCCAGGCGGGGAAACTGAGCAATACCTGTAAAACAACATGAGCATTTACCCTCCTAACCAGCAACCCCACTTCTAGGAATTTACCCTTCAGATAAACCTGTAACAATATGAATATACGGATGCACGCGGTTGTATGTCACAGCCTTATTTGCAACTGCAAAATACTGCAAACTATTTAAATGCATAAGACATCAGTTGAATAACCTATAGAACAGACACATGATATAGCAGTATCTACAGAAATAAAGATTTCTATAAACTGACATAAAGTAATTTCTAAGAGATACTGATAAATGAAAAATAGGTAAATTACAAAAGAACATACACAGCAGGCTACCTTTCCTAAGACAGGGGAAATAAGAAAAAAGTAAGAAAATTTATCTGATTATCTTTATAAGAGGATGAAGTGTAAAACAATAAAGTTGGTTACCTATAAAGAATGGGGTGGAATAGGGGAGATGGATATATACTTTTCCTATATATACCTTTTCATACAATTTTACTTTTCGGGAATGTAAATGATCATTTTCTACATATTCAAAAAATTAAATCAGCAAAGATATGAAAAAAGAGGAACACACAGAAGCTGAAAGAAAACTAAATGGAGTGAATTCAACTGTATTTTAAATTAATGCCACATCCACACTTAAAAGATAAAAAAGAAAGAAGCAATCCAAGTAATTATGAGTACCACACTTGACTATATATATACTCAGAATCCAGTGGGGTAAGGAGAGAGAACTTGGAACAAATCTTTAAGTCTTTTTGGAAGACTTGTTTGTTGTAGTGGTAACATGAACCAATTCTGAAACTATTTTAGATGTATTACTGAGTTGAACAAATACTGTGTTGATGCTGTTTGAAAGCCAATGTTCTCACTGTGAAAGAAGGGACATATAAATATGGAAAGCTGAAAGACGAGAACCCTGTGGAGTTGGATTAGAATAGAGATACTGGTTTGAAATAACGATTACTAAAATGTGTATGTTTATCAGTATGTATGTATGCATATATTTATGTATCGATGTACAGGTGTGTGTGTATTTACAAATAAATATGCCTATATTCCCTGACTCTGTCCTCTAAAAGGACCTAAAAGCAAAGATCTCATAGTGAGGAACAGAATCCAGCAGCAATGAGCACAATAGTGCCCAGATCTTGATCTCTAATACCATTCCAGACTACAAACAGTCAAGAGCTCTTCAAAGAAATAGTTGCCCAGAGCTGGGGCTCAGAAATCAAAAACAAGCCTGTGACAATTTGTTTCACCAGAAAGAAAGAAAATGAGAAAATGAGAAAATGTGATTGGGCAATGCCACGTACTACTACTAACCAAACCTGGACAATCTGGGCACCAAGAAAGTCCAGCAATGAATTATAAACCATTCAGAAGAACATATCTCCATAAGCGCATACTCACAATGAATGACTGGATGAATAAGTAAATCAATCAGTGAGTCAATGAGAATGGATTTTGCTTATGGTAGAATGCTGGCAACTGAGAGGAAGGCTGGAATGAAAAAATCAGCAGTTTGCAACCACTACGGAAAAACTGTACCAGGCAAGAATCACTAATTGATGCTAAATCTAGGTGGAAATTTTGATGAGGAGCAGGATATTTGTATGGTCTTCAAGTGTTCCCCCACAGACTGCTTACTGGTTGCAAGAGAAAAATTGTAACATGACAATGGAGAAATCTGACATCACACTGACCGAATGATCAAAATCAACATTGCCAACACGCCTCTACATGTGATGTACTGAAAAAGACACGACATCATTCATGTAGTATTCATGGTTAAAGTACATAACCTAAATCTAGTCATGAAGATACAGCAAACAATCCCAAAGGAGGAATTACAGATACAGAGAAAAGACAAATGGAGCACAGCATTATTCAAAAATGTCAATGTCATAAATTAAAGAAGGTTAAAAAGACATGACAATAAATGTAATACCTGATACTAGACTGGATTCCTACTGAAGGGGGAAAATTCTATAAAGAATATTATTGGTTCATCTGACAATTTTGGAATATCGAAGATAGATTAGATACAAGTATTACATCAAATGTTAAATTTACTGAAGCTCATCACTGTAATAAAGTTGAGAATAACCCTACTCTTAAGAAACAAGAGATAAATGCAATCTCTGTTCAAATGGTTCAGAAAAACAAGTGTGTGTGAGTGTGTGCATCTGTGCATACATGTTGAAGGGCAAAGGGGAAGTGTCCAAGTGATAAAACTAAAGGGATAAAATTTCTCCAGTTAACACTGGAGAAACTGAGGAAAGATTTCTTACTCTTAGGACACTTAAGTTTCAGATTATCCCTAGTTAGAAGTTTGGGGTTTGTTGTTGTTGTTTACTATTTTTCCTACCATATTATTCCCATGTTACAATTGAATACAGTGAAGCCTCATAATGAGAAATAATCAGGAGGTAAGCCCAGCCTGTCTTATTCCAGAATCTAAAATTTGTTTTAATTATCACAATATATTGCATATTTCACATATTAGATTTAGCCACACTTTTAGCTCTAGGATTGGCAAGGTTGTTTGGTCTTCCCTAGCTTGCCTTTTTTTAAAATTGAATTTATTGAGGTGACATTGGTTAATAAAAGTATATAGGTTTCAAGTGTACAATTCTGTAATACATCACCTGTATATTATACTGTATGTCCAGCACCCAACACCAAGTCCCCTAGCTTACCTTCTGAAATTGCCTTTCCTCTTTTTCCCCTAACTGCAGGCCCCTATCACTACGGCTGCATCCTATCTCTGGTTCACCAGCATATAGTACTCTGGCCAACTTTATTTTTTACAAATCCCCAGAGAAAAACCCTATGTTCTGGCTTCTAACTCTCATACATTGAGCAGGATGTATTATGCTCACCCCAATAAAGCAACTAGAGGAAAGAACTGTATCATTCTCAATATTGTATGTCCAAGGCTAAGAATAGAGCCAATTCTATATTAGGGATTTCGGTAAACATTTATTGAACTGAAATGTGCAACTTCTTCTGTTGCTCATGATTTTCCTCACTGTAGTAAACATGAGCAATGCCCAATTCCCTTCCCCTTCATTTACCTACCAAATCTGACTGAGATCTACCCAGCGTCTACTTTCTAGAAGATGCTTTTCTCAATCAGTTATCCCTGCCCTGAAAATGTCAGCCATGTTCAACCTCTTCAGCATACAAAGGCTGTGCCAGTACCTTTTCACATTTAAATTACAATGTTGAAAATACTGTTTATGTGGCATAACAACATGACAATTTCAAAAGTTGTCTTCACCTCTTATTTTGATTAAGAAAAATTTAAAAAAATGGAAAGAAGCTAGTTTGTGACTATGCTAAAGGAAAAGATAACGGTCTTTTAAAAAAGATGCTATGGTCAACTAAACTTGGAAAATGCTAAATTTAATTAAGCTACATCAAATTGTCAGATCATTCACTATAAATCAATGTACCCTGTGATCTCCTAGAGGAGAACAAAGTATACAGTGCTTTCCAAACTTATTTGATCATGGGATCTTTTTACTCAGAGTATCCCCTGGGAAAAATACACCATAGAATATATTTTGGAAATGCTGACTACATTATACGTAAGTGAAAACATCAGAATATTTGGACTGTGATAAGACATTTAAAAACAAAAAGAACCAACCTGCTTCACAATTAGCAGGGTCAAGTAAAGCTTCACACATAAAATACAAAGTAGCTACTGATTCTGATTGCAATTATAAACACCAAAATCCTGCAAGTTCCAGGTTAAATACCTGCCTACTTCAGGCTCCCACTAAAATTCTGATGTGATTTTTCCATCACCTCGTCTAACTCTTAAATGCAGACAACCAACTCCAGTATCTGCTTCCCAGAATCAAAATACACAGAGAGAGCAAATCAAAGATTTTGACTGAAAAGCATTATAGCAATGCTTCTCAAATTTTAATGTGCATAAAAATTAAGTGTGAATTGTGATAAAAAGATAGATTCTGATTTAGTAGTTACGGGGTTGGAACTGATATTCTGCATTTCTAGCAGGTAACACCATTTCAGGTAACACCACTGTTATTGAACCAAGGGCTACATATACTTTGAGTGAGGGTTTCAGGAACCTCAAGACAAAAAGTCAAGGCCCCTAACTTGTAAATATCCAATGGCTATTCTTTCAAACTGCTTTTCAAAGCTCCAATTCTCCCTCAGGAACACAATTAAGCGTTCATTCATTTATAAAAATAGAAATAGAAAAAGAAGATACTAAAATCGTTATTATCTGCTGACAATTATTTTTCTTTAGAAATAGAAGTTTTCTGTAGATAGCCATAAAAGTTCATGTACAAAATCACCTTTTAGTCTAAATCCTCATTCTATTTCTATTCCCAAATGCCCATACCAACAACGCAGAAACATTGGTTTCTATGGTGGTCAGGACTTGTCTCCAACTTTGCAGCCTTGACTTTCGAGTCTGCAAAAACAAATTATTATTGCCCTGCACTCACCCCCCAAAAAGACATATATACAGCCAACATCTTTCTTAATAACTAACTGAAAGCAGCAGCTCGTTTTAATAAAACCATCCAAAAACATAAAATTGATTAAACCGACTGCTGTGGTGAGCATATACAACAGCTGATAAAAATCATTCAGGAGTTTATTCTTACATATTTTTCTTTCAGGCTTTTAGAATTTTTCCCAATCTGTATTTTTAGCTTGATATTGAAGTCATGGAACTAAAGAAAAAAAATTTAATCTATGTAATAAAATTTTACACTACAAAGTAAGTCAATTCAAGAAAATAGTAAACTAGACCATATACAACTTAAACAATGCTCATACTAAAGCTAATTAAGCTTACGTGTTTTGAGTAACAAAATGAAGACTTTAAAGTGAATGACCTATCATGTTGTCAAAAATTATATGCCCTTCCTGGGCACAGCACTGTCATTTAGCAAAGTTTTACAAAATTACCAATGACTAATAGCCTCATTTCTTACCAAGAAAAAGTTAAGCAAAATTAGAAATTA